TTACCCTTATTTAGAAGACACAGTTAGAGAGGACTAACATAAGATTAAAAAAGTTGTACCAAAAGCAAGTTAAATTGTACTATTTTATTTTTTTACATACAGTACATGTACTTACAGATATATTATACAGAAGGGAAAACTGTCGAACACTTTTCAACTATTGCCAAATAGGGGTATTTTTGTCATTCTGCTTTCCCGTCTGAAAGTGATAAGCCAGGCAGGGAAATTATTATCACTTCAACTTTTCAAAGGCTGCATTGTGTACGTGTCTTTCTCTCTATGCATTCATCAAACACCTACTCTTCTTCAATTGACCTATAATTTTTAAGGCTTTAGGGTCATCCCCATTTTCCCCCCTGTGCTATACTTTTTGTTTCTGCTTTTGCTTGTGTCTTGCTTCCTTTTTTTTTTTTTTATATATATACTAGATGCAGGATCCGTTTTAGCACGGACTTAATATATGTTACTTTTTCTGTCGATTTTTATTGTCATGTTATATTTTTCAAAAATCAATTTGATTAATTTTTAAAATTAAATTAGATTTAAAAATAGATACTCAAGAACTAAATGAAAAGTACTATAAATTCTATTTTTTGGCATATCAATATGATAAAAAATACATCATAAAATATTAGTCAAAGTTATTATCGTTTGACTCTAAAAAATTAAACTATGACAATTAAAAGTCAACGGAGACAATATTTTTTTGTTCCAATTTATATGACATAAATAGAATTTGGAAAGTCAGCTGAATTTTAATATTTTTAAGTCATTAACTATTGTAATTTATATTACTTATTTTACGTAAGTTTTAAATAATACTACTATGTTACTCTCTCTATTCCATTTATGTAAGTTATAATACTACTATGCTACTCTCTTTGTTCCATTTATGTAGCACGTATAGAATTTTGATAGTCAACTAAATTTTTACATGCCTTTTAACTTTTTAAATTATTAATTATCGCTGTATCCTAATTAACCGAATGTTTCCAAAAAAAAAATTTAATTTCCAGGAACAGGTTATTAATGCAATATTTAATTAGCAATTATAATTATCAATATAACTACAGTAAGTGTAAATTTGGCCCCACAAGTCAAAAGAGAGTCTTAAATAGGAAGCAATCACACGTGTATGGAGTACAATGCAAGTGGGCCCACATATTCAGTAAAATTGTCTAGAAGCATTCAAAAGATAGACTGTAAATAATTGAAAATAATATGACTTTTTTGTCCAAAAAAGAAACGCTACATCCATGTAAAGTTGAAGTACAAAAAAGTTAAAAGGATAAAAATTTGTGAAATACCAAAATAACCCTTGGTCGGTAAGTTGGCAAGACACCCGAGAGGTGCTTGTCAAGCCGCTTGTATTACTCCTATATATTTTAATCCTATATAGAAGTGGAGTTAATAGGACTAACAAAACAATACAATTTGTACAATAAGCTAAGAAATATGTACTTTACTCTTTACTCCTATTTAGAAATGGGAGTTTGTGAGGACCAACATTGCACTAAAGAGTTGGA